AAATAGTTGGCAAATACTCCTTTGCGATGGTGCCTGTGACAAAGCCCACCGCCTCCTTGTCGGTCAACAGTTGAACAGAGTTATGTTCGTTGCTATACGCGGGTATTTATAGCTAAAGGCAGATTCTACAGACATCTAATCGTTGATCGGTTAAAGTTTGACATTGGCATCGTCATTCAAAATGTTCGTAGATCTTTTGCTAGTTCATAACTAACATTCGTAGCGAACGTTAAGACAATCAGCTCGACCCAAGCCAACTCCGAGCGTGGGTGAAGCACATGTCACGAAACGAACACAAGTGCACACTTCTGGTTCTTGTCATAAATCACTTTCGTCTATTTGAGCGTCAGCGAAGCCCTCGGCTGGCGCAAAGGATGCGTGCTTTCCTCGGAAGCAAATGGGAACAGACGTCCGGGGCCGTCGTCCCGCTGACGGAGCGGAGAATTTTGCATAGACGATTGAGATTGCGAGCGATCCAGCACTATTGTTGCAACTCTTACCTCTTTCAGAACGTGAAAAGACAGAAGGGAAAGCGATCGACCTAAACAGAAAGAGAGGTGGAAAAGGTGCGGACTAAAAAGGTGAACCTAGAAAAGACAGACCCCTTATTCAAAATTTCATGATTACTCGACGGATAAATCTTTTGGAATTCGAGACCGTCGCTTACCTTATGTTCGATCATTAAGTAACAGCGAGATGTAATGGACATGTGTTTAAAGTAAGCTTGTATTAACTAGTTATACCGAGTAACGTCCCTTTAGATTTGTTACTACACTAATACACCCGCTGGTTTATGTGAGGTAATGTAAAAGTACGAGACAGAGGTAAAATGGATTCACCATAGGCAGCTAGGTACTCGCGTTGCTTACAATCTGGAAAAGGAACTAAAGAGCCGTAAATCCTAAAAAGATTGAAATTTGAAGAGCACGCTCAACTGCATTGCCAGGGCGCAAGCTTCCTGACTATTTTCTGACAAGCGGATTGAAACAAACCTGTTACGACTTACCGGACTAGCTTATACGAATCCTAAGCTATGCGCCGCGTGGCCCTGTACTCCTAGTCCTTTTGGATAATGAAACACTATTTGTACGTCATTGTTATCCTGCTTTGTTGTCCTGGTGCCTCATAGAACAATCGTACTATGTGACACAGTGATAGCCGACTGCCGACTGGAATGAAGGACCAAAACGGACTGTCGGACATGGACTGCCAGTGGCTGACTAACGGCACAGTGACCGTTATCGACACGAGTACAAGACTGCACAGCTGTCTTTAGGCCATAGAAGCATGACTGTCTATCTAGAGAAAGTGGCAGAGGGACCCGTTTGGACAAAAGAGGCTGACGGCTAGCTGGCGGCCCCCTAGATCTAGCAGAGAACAAGTCGTAGCAGCCGCTTTAAGCACAGTAGGTCCTAGCGGAAAAGGACGATAGGGGTAATGCCAGTAACGCTAAAGGCGAATGGAGTGGTAGGTCTTTCGCTTGCACTTTTTTGCAAGTTGCTGCTACCGCTACCGCTACTGCATGGTGATCATTCTCTTTGTCTAAAGCACAACGCGGTCGAACTGGGACCCCGAATGATCTTCGTTTTCGCAACAAGCAGAGGTTGTCTGTCCGACCATCGGTCGATCTGCTTTCACTGAGCAGACCTGTCGCTCCTTGTCTGTTCCTTTCGTGAAAAAAGCGTTAGCACATTCTCCTCCATCCTGGCTTCATCCACTGTTGCAATAATCGCAATCCTAACAGGATGCAAAATTAGTTAGGGGTTACCTGTACAGAAGCATACGGATGGACCGTTTATCCGTCTTGCACATGCCTTGCTCTGTCTGTCTAGAGGCAGTGACATAATATCGCCTTTGCTATCCGTGCTAGGACACTAATAACAAAATAAAGCAGAGGCACAGCAATAGTGCGAGCAAAAAGCCAAACCTTTTTGATATAAACAACATGTATGAATTAACAGAATAAAGAGCTTTATTTTCAATCCCTCTGAAAGAAGACGTGTACGCGAATACCTACACGAGCAATTTTAGATGGATATGAATCAGTATGGTGTCGGCAAAGAAACGCAATAACATTTTTGATAATATCAGTGTCATGGTTTCATGCTAAACTGTGCCGAGTATTTCTGTATCAATGGCCGCGAAGGTTGAAAAAATCAGATAGAAAGATACATGAGTAGAGTTAGGCCAAACGGCCTGTTTTTTGACAGTCCCATTTTCTGGCTGTAGATTACTTTTCCTTCCACATCCACAGAAGAAGGCTTTTAACTGGCCGTCTATCGTGTTTTAATTTTTCCCTCGAATTTGCAATCTCTGCCGCAGTTGGCGACGTCTCATTGGTCGTTTCCTGTTTTTTTACTATGCCTCATTAGTTCTTTCTTCGCCGTTTCGATCCTAATACAAATTCCATACCATCTCCTGCTCATTCTTATGCTCTCATTCATTGTCCGTCCTCTTCATGTAACTTTTCTCCTGTATGCTTGTTCCGTGGCCTTTCTCGGTTCCTTCTCTCCCTTTAGCCCTTTTGCCGGCTTTATCTGTGGCGAACAACTAGACGCCCGCATCTGCTATTTAGATATGTCCTTTTTATTATGATTCGAGAGCCTGAAGGGGTGGTGTTGGTTGTCGTGTGCGACTGAGTCGTGTGGATAGGATTGCTCTTGTTTAACGTTTTCAACGTAGGGCCGAAAGCTGTCTTATTGGTTCATCTCGTGTATTCTCGCCCTTACTCGGCCCTTCTTGCGTTGTTCTTGGCCCCTCTCGATGGGAAGAAAGTTGTTGTCACTCTCATCACGCAGAACTGAATGGGCATAATACGAAGTGGGAAAAAACAAATAGAGCGATCCAGCGATGCAGGTTTGAAACGTTAGAAACATCGGCTAGAGTACCGCTAGGGGATTTTGGGGAGAAGAATAATGGATGATCGCCGGCTGAGAGCTGCAGGAGAAGCTTACTTTGACGAAGAAAAGCCGTGATATACTGCTAGCCAAGAGAAAAACAGTGGCTCAATCAGGCACTGGCTTGGTAGTAAGTTGTCGTATCTTAGAGGTAAATGCAAATGAGCAGTCTTATGTTGCTGGCAGCCAACGTAATTGTACCACACATGTCTATGTCCTCCGTGTAGCTGAAGTCTAAGACGTTCTTACGGAACGAACTGATACAGTGCATTCGAATGGAGCATTCGAATAGCGCCAGCAAATGAACGGCGTGCACACGTCGTTAGCTGTATGGTTTCTCGATTGAAAAAAGGACCCTATTGGTTTGGAATCTATGCCATACCTGTACGCTGAACTAGCAAGGAAGACTACTTGGAAAAGTCGGAATTCATGGTCCTGAGTGAATAGATAGATGAATACAGTTACATGAACAGCCTGTCTGCGAGAAGCCGGAGGACAATGGAGAGAAGCGTATGGCAAGCAAGTGTAAGAAGCGTGTGTCCCAACGCCGAAGCATCATCAAACTACGCTCATCAGAAAATCATCCAGAGTACCCTCCTAACTTCTACCATGACTCGTTCTTGGACAGATTTGCTGGCATCTATCAAGAAGAAGAAGAGAAGCGACAGCGAATGTTGTCGCCGGATTCCTGCGGCGACGCACGCCGACACATGTGTGGTCGAGAGAATTGAACCACAGTGATAGCTCATGGCGGTTTGCATCAGGGTAGGCTCTCTAGTCCTTGTCAATCTGGGAAGAAATGGACCAGGGAGGCGTGTGAAAGTCCGCATTGTTGACGTTAGAAGGCTCGTAGTAGGGTAAAAAAAACTGCGGGTCCCAATTCCTGTCAGACGCCTGGAATAGCGTTTTGAAGGACTACGAATGCCACGACTACGAGAATGGTCGAAGAGGTGAAGAACATCATAAAAATATCTAGGACGCACAGAAAATGTGAATCCAGTCTACAACTAATAACTACTGTGCAGTAGAGGCAAACAAATTAATCGAAATACAGAAATTCATACAAAAAAATAAATATAAAAACAAGCTATTATTCCTAAGCCTAGAAACATTACAAACGAAGCTAGCTGCAGTTCTACGAACCATCATATAGTAGTTTCTGTTTTCAATTAGAAGTGTAGTTAAAATAGCTTCATTATTTTTACGTATAAAATAAGGTAAATTATATTCGCACCACGATGTAAGTATAATGAATTTCATCAATTATAGCGATAATCGGTGGGGCGGTGTCATTCTGAACCACAGAAAAATTGTTTTCCTCATTTTAGCCTTCCATGCATTAGTATTTGTAGTATACCTAAAATAGCATATATAAATATAAATATAAAGATCCTTACGCTCCCACAGGCACTACTGCCCGTTGAGAGGTATCGGCGCTTAAAGATATCAATCCCTACAAAAAATTTCTTGAGAACATAACTAAAGAGAAAAATCATTAAACAAGTAGTATGTCAAGAATAGATTTACAGCAGGTCTACAAGTTAAGCCTGTGCCTGATTAACAACTACTTCCTGATCGCTTCAGATGCGGCGCTCGCAAAACAATTAATTCGTCCATTATGAATCTACAATAGCAGGTTCGTGTCGTTGTTACGTGGTGTCCTATCACAGTAATACAGTTATGAATTTTTCCAGAATATATACGCATACCCTGCGCCTACTCCAGACTCGTCTTTTGTCGTCGTCCTAGAAGAAAGCTTTACCAGTGTGTGTCCTTATCGTAAATCAGCTATTTCATTTCGCTGTAACTATTGTTAATCCGTTCGAAGATACGAGCCTGTCAGGCATTGGATATGTTCATTCGCTTTAATTGGCCTTACGACTGCCCCTGTGTGCTTAAAAAACAATAAAAACTACATGAATTTCCTAAAAGCCAACTGTTTTAAACGCGCCTTGTATACGTGGGACTTGCGGCACTCAAGCCAATTTAACCCTCGACAATTAACGAATTCAATACTCTTACTATTAACTCTGTATGCACTTACCTCTTCATCTCTTCATCATTTTGTATTATTATCTGTTTCTGTGGTATGGTTAATTATAGATCACCGTGGGCAGAGCGTCGTCACAGCCGACCGTTGATGAAGTAACATTGTTAGTACCGTTAGTCTTATCGTCGACCCCGTGAAGTTGAAGACCCTCGAAGGCCCTTCGAGGTACCACCAGATCAGTCGCGGTTCATCTTTCTACCTGTTTGGCGATCTGGAGAATAAAAAAGCTCTTATTTTAGCATCATCAGCAGTAACAACTCCAGTGACAACGGCAGTTCCCGCTCTCTCACATCCAGACCAGACAAAGAGAAGCAATCAAGCTCCTTCAACCACTACTGATCTTTATCTGAAAGATAATTTGACGCCGCAAGCATTGTTGTCTGTTTCGTGTCATCAGATCGAATGGTCACACATAAGTAGCTATCAGCTACGATCACGGTTGATCTCTTCTCAGCCAGACCAGCCATATATCAAACCCATATTACGGCTACTTGAAAAAGGTAAAATCTATATTAGCATTTCGGAACGATAAACATATTTCAAGGATATTCCAAATAATAAACGACAGCATCAGCGGCACCAACAAGATGAGCGGAAGAATTGGAGACTGCAGCGGAGGCGTACCCCAGTTGGCAGCCGGAGGTGCCGGGGGTTGGCCCGAGGACGTGGGAATTCACGCGCTTGAGGTCTACTTCCCTCACACCTTTGTCGATCAAACCGACCTCGAAATATTCGACGGAGTATCACAGGTGAGTGGAACTTCAATACGTTTCAACGGCCAGTTCACTTTAATTGCTCTATGCAGTTTCTATGGCTTGCCGACCGACATACGACCTTTGATATTTACTAATCATTTTTTCTATTGCTACATTCGATTAACATAATAATGATTCAATAATATAGTAATAATAACATAATTCGATTCATATAACTCTAAAACTAGGTGTTCATACGCAATATTGAATCCCTGGCTCGAGAGGGGATGAAGATGAAGTAGATAGAGACAAAAAGAGCCATTAAATAAGGAAAGATCTAAAACGTTTAAGGACGAAACCAAGCGAGGTATAGTGTCAGGGATGATGAAAACGGAAGAAATACCGACGTTGTAAGGGCCGTACTTCTGCGCTTACGCTGCTAATTAGCGCAGTCCTATGGTAGCTGTAAGAGTAATAAAATTGCCAGTAGATATGATTAGGCAGAACTTGTTGTGCGCTCAGCCACGGTGCTAATATAAACTAAGAGTGACCAAAATCCAATAAAAGGCCACAATACAAGGACCCCCGCGCTCTTGCATTTACGAAAGCAGACAACGGACTCGCTAACAGTTTCATCTTGACGTCCCGGATAAGCGTGCGAAGGTCCAGAAACAAAGGGAAGAGGTTACGATGTCCGATATGCTTGCCTTGAGGGGTAATTGTCTGCTGAGCTATAGGCGATAGTCCTTTGGTAGGGTTATTGGTGTTTAATGGTTCCGATTATGTGCCAAAATCTCATGCTGTTTTTCTTGAGGGAGCTTGCAGGAGATGGTCGAGACCATTAGGTTAATATGCTCACAACAGATATCAAGAGAAATAATACAAATCTCAGAAGCCACAGCGTAAGCAGAGAATCCACGAGACATATAAGATAGAAATCGGCGCTTGCGAAGCAGCTACTTTTCCAGAGAAAAGAGCCTACGACTCTCGGCTTAAGGCTTTCTTCCTAATAGGGCCTAATATTCGCTCTTCTTGGTTGACCGGATTATAATCAGTCGATTGAAGGTGCCATTCCTGCGGACCAGACAGGCTAGGGCTTGACTTCACATTTTTTCACGCTAGATTGCGCCTTTCAGAGGAGGGATCTTGACGTCTGCCTTCTAACCTGGCAAAGTTGGGTTAGGGGCCAGAGTTGGCTGGCTGCGTCAGGATGCGTCGCCTGCTGGCCTACCATTCATAATCATAAATATCTTGGACCATCTTGCTTTTCATAGAATGACACAAAAGTTTAACACGAAGTGACGCTGTCGTTCGCAAGTAAAGAAACTCTTGCCATGAAATGATAGCATACAATAAATGCCATTAGCTGTAGCGTCATTGTTGTATGTGGTAAGAAACCGGTTGTTTGTCTAGGTTAATGTTAACTGACTAATGACTAGAACGAGATATGAAACCAAACAACAATTAGGGCTTTACGTAAGGACAAGGCTATTGACGTACGGTGATAACGACGCATGAAAACATGTCTTCGGGGCTCCTTCTTTATGAGGATTTAAAATATTGTTTAAAATATGTATACAGATAATCATCAGTGGCTAACTGACGTAAACCAGGATTCTTTGATTGTTGGCCCCCAACGAACAAACTGAGGTTGGGGTAAAACAAATAAGTGGCTTTCATCAAGAGCAGCAACTCGTCATCAGCAAGTCTAGATAAGGGGACAGGTTATTCAATGGTGGTGCTTATAATGGAGGCTTTGTTGGGAAAGGGCACTGTCGTGCAGACGAAACCGTTTGCAGATCTAGTGTTAGAAGATAAGCGGTGTACTTGCGCATGAAGCGGATAATTGGCCTGTTGCTAAATAATTGAAACGCCTGGGTAGTTACTGTGGGTATAAAGTCCTGGAGTTTGTTAAACGATAACCGCTGCGCATGAGCAACGACCCGTTTGCGGCGACTGCGAACGACTGGATATCTTTACTCTGGCAGTTCTGGCAGTCTGCTGAGAACCATCTACAATAGGGTAGGGCTGGTAGAAAGGTTCTATCTAGGAGAAAGATCGCTGATGGGCAGAGCCCGAGGGGTAAGATTGCGACAAGATGAGATAGCCTTGTACATCGAGAGTCAATCACGAGAGGCGATAGCAATAATGGTTAGCGAATGCGTGTTATGCGAAAGTCACATGACCACTACAATAGTTACGACTCGAAATACCGTACCATCGACGTTATGAGCTGCCCCGAACTTCGCTCACGTCTTTTATGTAGGTGGAGACGTACCCTTCAATTTCTCTCAATGTTGACCTCAATTTCTCGGAACTTTCCCGTTTCTTGTATGCCCTCATCCTTATTTCATGGTAATGGACGCGTGGTCTGAAAGTCTTCTTCCTTATAGAGTTTTCTAAATGCCGAAGAGGGAAACATAGAGCATGTGAAAATAACTGATATTCAACTAATACGACAGTACTCTCCCCCTTCCCTCGCTTAAATATCAGTTACTCGTATCGTCAACACAGTCATCTCAACCTACCTATTACAATTTTGCCCAGTTGGCGTATGTCATCTCGCGCGCTCCATTTAAAATTACAGCGTCCGTGACGCTGGTAGACTTAACTGGTAGACACGGCTTAGCACCCGCATATGCGAGATCTTCCCCCCGATCTACAAGCGAACAGAGTTTTTCCTTGTTTGTACCTGATGTTGGGTCTCTTTTTCTAGTTAGCGGAACACCTTATTGTACACTGTGCTTGATTTGTATTTCTTTACTAACCCAAAGTTAAACAAGCACATCCGAGTGTAGCTAATCATCAGCAACGTGACACAAAATCGTACTCTGTATAAAAATATTTAAAAAGGATGTGAAAAATATTAAATCTTGAATAATTTAGGCTAACTTCAATTTAGCTTAGCTGCGTTGGAGAATACCGAGAAAAATACAGTTTTAGATGATATGCGGTTTGCTTTGAAAACGCAATTTTGACCGTCTATCTATTAGAAGTTTGTTTGCGAAGATCTGCTTTCGCGACACAGTACCAGTGCAGAGATTTACCGCAAAACGGACTAAATATATGCGAGAGCTTGAAGGTTCTTTCGCGTTTTTGTCACTAACATCGACATGGCGGCATCCTAAGTGTAAGCTTACGCCGGTACACGGGCGATTTCTTGTAAGTTAGAAGCTCTTGCATAGTTAAGCATTAAGTAAGACATACGTTCAATTTGACAAACAAGAATTTTAATTTCTCCGGTGCGGTCATACATAAAACATAGTCTTCAACGTTTGGAGATGCACGCCTTTGGAGTATGCCTCCCGATTAAGCACACCGCTTAAAGACGAGTACTCTTAATAACTATTGTCTTAAATGTCCTGAAATAGCAACAGATCTGGATCTCAAGAGATTGGACAAAATATTAGTAGCCTTATTTGGATGTCCCGCAACGCGCGATCTCGGGCTTACATGACTGCCGCGCACAAAGTAGGAGATCTTCATAACAGATGCTTCAGTTTATTCCACGGATTAAGCAGCACAATGTTTGCTCGCAAAATGAAGCACCTGAGTGAAAATATCAAATTAATTAGACGGACCAACTGTGCTTTGCACTGGAGACTTGGCGGGCTGGAGGCTGAAGCCCGCAAGAGCAGTCTAGTTCTTTTACACTATACATGCATATACTCGATGCAGAAGTCCGCTTTGTCGAACCGCTGCTATCGAACGCTCTGCTGTTGCTGTCGCCCTTGAAGCTGTTAGTCACGAGCCCTTCCAGTGGAATTCAAGAATCCTTCCTCGGGATGTGTTGAGGAACATTAATTTGAAAGTGCGACGGATTCGCTCCCCCTCGCCCCCCACACTGAGCGTTGGTTTTTAGTGAATCCGAAAAAAATATGTTGCTTTGTTCATTGCTTTGCGTTCATTCCGTTGATGCCCGGAGGGCAAGGGGCCGGCTTGGTGGTGTAGTTCACTTGTATTTTCTGTTTTTCCTTTTCCGACAACGGGGTCTTGTACGCTCATCTCGTATCGGAGATCCGTTCGTCTTGGGCCAGGCCTGGGTCGTGCGGGCTTCAGTCGACGTAACTTTTTCGTCTTCGGCTCTTTGCTTTTCTGATCGATTGGTGATCCATATACTTTCTTTTCATTATGCGCTCTGCTGCTACCCTTGCTGTACGTTAGACACACAAAAAGCGGTGTATGTTTGTAGGATTTGCAGACTCTGAACCTTTAGCTGAGGACGGAGCGAAAAGACGGATACTAGCCAGAGAAGCAGATGAAATGCATGGAGTTGAGCAAGGCAAAAAGGCAGGGAACAGGACAAGAAGGCAGTCAGTCCGACGAAATTAGCCTTCTGGCAACGAGCGCAGTTGAAGGCGCTGGGCGTCTCTTAGCGGTCGGCTGTTGGCGGTCAGTAGTTCAGCTTGACTCGTTTAGCATGAGGAGCGGTACGCAGTCTGCCTCTACCACCCGTCCATCACCCGCAGCCTCAAGACTATCCTCGCACCTTTATTCTTCGACAATCTCTGAACCGTTTCAGTTTTATTCCCGTCCAACCACGACTACTTTTTTCAGACTTTCCTACGTCGTCGCTTTCCGTTTCACCTAAAAGCACCCCAGACGAGCCCCGAACCGTATAGCTCGAGCGTCTGCATTACCCGTAGACCCTTTTCGTTATATAGATACGGTACTCACGATGGGAACCCATCGCACCCGTCGAGCCAAAGCAGCGGACATCGTAGCAGCAGTGGCCGTCATAGGGCTACAATAAGGCAAGATTCGAATAATAGCACAGATTCGACCCACAGTTGCCTCCGCAGTCCTCCTCTTTGCTCCAAGCTAACCAAGTGATTGTCAAGTGGTGGAACGGCCGAATTCTCTCGGTACCTGTGGAGTGACATAAAAGCACACCAGCTTCAAGGCACAATTTCAACTGCCGCTACGCTTCTAGTGCAGATACAAAGTGAAACGAAACCAGCAACGAAATGATAAGTTTTATAGACAATTGCAAAAAGGCCCGATTTCTCTTTTTCTTCGACGGGTCATGCAGTCAGTCGCTACCTCAAGGTGAG